GTATATTCCTGGGGCGTTGCTTCCAAACACACCGGCCGGCTTCCACTGGGTTCCATCCGTCTTGTGTCTGAATGAACGCGTCGTGGTTTTAGGACAGATTCACGATGGCGACTGGTGTGGAAACATCGGAATAGCGATGGTGGGTGGAACCCTTACAGGGCGCATCGTCCTTTACTTTGATTCTCGCATTCAAACCAATTTTTTAAATCCGCCAGAGTATGCGGTTCATCGGCGGTATACCAGTCATCCGTTGCTCCGAAAAGGGACCCTGCTCTCGACCTTTTACTGGGGTTCCTCCGTTGCACTCGTAATGGATGTGCCGCGGGAGACCTCGTTTGCTGTCAAGACGGGAGACGTGGTGAAAGCGGGCGAGGCACTGATCACATATTAACGCTCTAACTACCTGAAGCTCTTTTTTTTTTTTTTGTAGTTTCCTGTTTTTGTGGCGTAAACAGTGAAGGGAGATTTTGAAGCATTTATTTTCATTATCATTTTTTTGCCTCTCTTTTACATTCTCCCTATTTGTCTGTGCGTGCGTGTCTCTAGAGCACAGTGAAGGGAAGAAGATGCTTTCCGCTGCCCCACCGGCGTATGATGTAGAGGCAAATGTTCTTTACCACAAGATTGAAAAACTTGACAAAGATCTTAAAAAGCGGGAGCTGCATCTTGCGGAGCTCATTGACGAGGTGGTGTACGCGGAGGACAGGAAAGACAAGGCCGTCCGCCGTGCGGAATCTGCCCGTTACCTCGTCAACCAGCTGGAGGGCATGGTGCAGAACCTGTTGGGGTACTTGAAGTTGATTGAGGGCGACATCCTACTGCCGGCCTTCCTGGAACTTTCTTGCGTTATGCCACAGGAGCCTCTCAAGAGCCGAGAGGTCATCGCCCAGACCCTTGAAAAGATCGTCGAGGACAGCCTGAGCTCGCGAACAAAAAAACTTATTGCCGCGGTGAGGGAAATTCCCTCCGAAACGAAGAACCTGGCGACACGTGAGGTCTTCATGCGCACTGTGGCGAAGGAGTCTGTAAGCGTGGAAGATGCCATTGTACTCAGCGGCCTGCTTTTGGAGAGGAAAGAGGAGCTCACAGCATTTATGGACGACTTGAGGGATCGTGTTCAATATATTCTTCAGGGCAATCGCTCCGAATCACCTGGAGAGGGAATGAACCGAAGTGTGGGGACAATTAAAAATGCCTGCTTTGATCATGAGGAGCTTCAAGAGAAATTGCGTCGTGTGGA